AATCACGCTTCATCATCTGTTAGTCCGACAGACTAATCTGGGTTTGGCGGATGCCAGGAGAACGCTACCTGCCCCAATGTAAAGTGCCAACTGTAAAGATTGATGGAGGAGGAATATTGGTCTGGGGCTGTTTTTCATGGTTCCAGTGAAGGGAAATCTTAACGGTACAGCATACAATGACATTCTAGACGATTCTGTGCTTCCAACTTTGTGGCAACAGTTTGGTGAAGGCCCTTTCCTGTTTCAGCATGATAATGCCCCTGTGCACAAAGTGAGTTCCATATAGAAATGGTTTGTCGAGATTGGTGTGGAAGAACTTGACTGGCCTGCACAGAGCACTGACCTCAACCCCATCGAACACCTTTGGGATGAATTGGAACGCCGACTGTGAGCCAGGCCTAATCGCCCAACATCAGTGCCCGACCTCACTAATGCTCTTGTGGCTGAATGGAAGCAAGTCCCCGCAGCAATGTTCTAACATCTAGTAGATAGCCTTCCCAGAAGAGTGGAGGCTGTTATAGCAGCAAATGGGGGACCAACTCCATATTAATGCCCATGATTTTGGAATGAGATTTTCGACGAGCAGGTGTCCACATACTTTTGGTCATGTAGTGTATGTAGCGGTCCAAAAAGAGCTGTCAAACCACTTTCCAACGTAACCCATCTCTCCTCAACTTCATCTCTCCTCCTGTACTTAGCCATTCTGGATAGCTCCAAAGCCACATTGTACAGTTCCACATCTGGGAGTCCTAACCCCCCTCTTTCTTTAGGGGTATTAATTGTCTGCGTACTGATGCGTGGTCTTTTTAATACCAATTTACTGCTTAAAAATTTATGATGGAATGTATATCGGTAGCATCATTGAAATATAATTAAACTTAGGAAGAGCCATCATTTTAATTGATTTTTTTCCCCCATAAACTAAGATTTAACGACTTCCACTGGTCCATGTTTTGTCAAATAAATTTGAGGACTGGAAGCATATTAATATCCACTGACTTGTCTAACTCTGATGTCAATAGAATCCCCACATACTATGGGGATGTCTTCATGATGCCCTCTAGTGGCTCACCACTACCTGCAATAGTAATACACTCCACCTCCCTCCATTCTCCTCCCTCCATCCCTCTAAGCCAGTCCTCCTCTTCTCCTCCAGTGTTTTAGCACATCTCTCTCCACTCACTTTCTCTCTCTTTCTTTCTCTTTCTCTCTTTCTCTCTCTCTCCTCCAGTCTCTCTCACTCTATTCATCCACCACTCCTCTCTTCTCATGTTTTATTATGACCCTCTTGCCATGTCTCTGCCCAGGTTGTTACTATAGGGGGATGGAGAGATGGAGCAGCTGATGCAGAGCAGACACAGGTGTGCTTCAGGCATGTCAATTACCTGAGTCACACAACCCATGGCCTGGCTGTGTCGTGTGTGTGTGTGTGTGTGTGTGTGTGTGTGGTTGTCTGTACTCTACCAGCAGAGAGCCCCTACCTGCACACACCCAAAAGAAACACACACACACACACACACACACACACACCACTATACCACATCGTCTACTCTTAAACATGTCTTGTGATTCAGTCTTACTGTTTTCTTTTCCTTTTTAGACCTTTTTTCTCAAGTAAGACAAACTGCAGTGGAATTTAAAACACTCTTGACATTTTCAACATGATTATACTGTGAGCTCTTTAATAATTCAGCCGTGAAGAAAAACAAAAGCACAAGCAAGGTTTTCTTTCCTGTTTTTTGCTTTCTCAGTCTTGGTGGACCCTCACACCCTTCTCACATAAAACTTTTATCGATTAGAATGAGTTTTTAAACGGCTCCACTCACTTACCTGGTGCAGAGGGAAGGGGCTCTGGGATGGTTTATTGATGTGTTATTGATTAGCTCTCCGGCTCACCTCTCTGGATGAGCCAGCCATGTCTGACCTCACTAGTTTGACTTCTATTGCTGACCCTGCAAGATAATACAGACACAAAACATGCACAAACTCACACACAACGTCTGACCTTGGTTTCTCTCCTCAGTGCCACATTACCCCAGCCCCTGCTGCTAAAGGCTAAACAGGACAGCTTCTCAGACCGCTAGGTGGGCCAAGCCTTAGGCTCCAGTGAGGGGGAGGCCAGAGCGCTGAGGCTGGGCCCGAATATCAAACCCTGGGTCAAACAGGTGAGCAGCCCCCCATGGGTCTTGGTCCTCTGGCCATTAGTCAGTATCTTCTTACCAAATGGCACCCTATCCTTTTATATTCGGTATATGCATAGGCATTGGTCAAAAATAGTCTACTATGTGTGGAATAGGGTGCCATTTGGAAAGCGTCCAGGATCTCCCAACGAAGCTGACGTAAACTTAGCTTAGCTAACATCTCATCTTTATGTTGTGTGAAGTCCAGGATACATTACAGAGTCAACTCCAACAAACAGGTCTTAATGCCCAGGTTTATTTTTGGGGAGAAGATTTTTATTTAGTGAGTTTAGTTTTTGAGACGGTCAGCATTGACTTTGACGAACCTTGGAACGAGAGGTAAGCGGTCAACACACACACACACACACACACGTACAAATGCACACACCACATAGATGCACACACACACACGGAGAGACACATACATACACACATTATCAAGAGGTCACCAAACCTCTGTTCCATCATCCATAGAACATGAGAACACTCAGACCTTGTTTCTGTCACGAACAGAGACATAAATGATTAAATTATGACACACCCTATGGGTGGCTGCTAAGGAATAGGCTGCTATTTGGGATGCACCCTCTAACCCTATCTTCACGCTCTGGTCAAAAGTAGTGCACTATGTAGGGAATATGGTGCCATTTAGGATGCAGAGAGAGAACACTGTGAAACTAGGGATAGAGAATTAGTGACGGACGGAAGTAGACTACAACCATGGTCAGGAATGTCCAATATATTAACATCACTTCTTCATGCAAGGCTTTCAATAATGTAGACTGTACTCTCAATAGTTGCAACCAGTGTGTGAGTGTGTGTGAGTGTGTGCACATGTGAGTGTGTGTGTTTGTGCTTGCGTGCGTGCCTTCCTTCATGCATGTGCATACATGTGTGATAATATACAATTTCACAATCACTTTTAAGATCGAAGCAATAGCAAATTGTATGGTTTCTCTCTAACTTACCTTTTGGATGTGTTTTGATGAGAATATGCTGCCTGAAAAATAACTTACTGAAAATGAACCTTCAGCAGAGGAATGAAATGTTAGAGAGAAACAGAGAGAGAGAGGGGTGGAGAGAGAAAGAAAGAGCTAGAGGAAGAGAGGGAGAGAGAGCGAGAGAGAAATGGTTGCAGCTTATTACCAAGTTAGTTTTCATGGAGGTATGGTAGACCCTAAGCTATTCATCCCCAAGCCCAGGGAAATGTAATTAATTCACCAATCATACTGATGCACGCACACATTGATTGCATAAATTCACTGCTCACCGACTCCACTCTTCCATGGATGAAACATCTTCCCAGTCCCGCTGTTGACTACCATTTATACAAAACACTGAAAACGGCAAGCATACCTGCTTTCCACCCTCAACTAATGATGTGAAAAGTAGCCAAGACACTCTCTCTCTCTCTCTCTCTCTCTCTCTCCTGCTTCGGGTCGATCTCGTCCTCTCTCTCGCTCTCTCGTCTCTCGATAGATGCTCCGGTCTCTCATCTCCACGTCGCCCTCTCTAGGCCCGCGCCGGATCGCTCGGCGTCCGCTCTCTCTCTCTCTCTTTCCCGCGCAGACATCTCTATTGCTATATTAAGTATTATAGACATCATCTGAGCTTCGAGTCATCCTGCCTCTTCTCATTCCTTCCTGACATTTCAATCCAGAAAAATCTTTTCTCTCTCTCTCTCATCTCCCTTCTCTCTTCAATTATATCTAAAATATATAACAGTGAAGTTTGGAAGTTACATACCCCCGTAGCAAAATACATTTAAAACTCAGTTTTGCACAATTTCTGACATTTAATCCTAGAAAAAATTCCCTGTCTTAGGTCAGTTACAGTTTTTCTCAATTGCTAAAACACAATTTCTGAAACCTTGCTCCATTTCCTGAAAACATTAAACACAAAACCTCATCTTCAAGCACTATTTACAAAAACCTCTGACTCCTCTCGCAAAATGAAACATTCGCCTCAAAACAGTTTTACCTGTGTTCAAAATCAAACACTGCTCTCAAATCATAAACAAAGTGACCAAAATGATATACACTCTCAAGCAGTCAGTAAACAATACCACCGAAAAATAGAAAACACATTGTTCAAAACATACAGTTCTCAGGGAGAAGTACATTTTTAATCTCAAAACAAAATTCATATGTTTCCGTCATTGTCTTTTGATGAACGAAAATATGTTCTATCATAGTAGCTCAAAATTGATCAGAAATTACTACTTTTGTTTTTTGTTCTTCCTCCTCCTTGTACCCCTATTTTTTCAGTACTGTACCCTGCATCTCACAAACTTGTCATTTGTCTCTGTGATACTGTAATTCTTGTTCCTTGTTGATATGAACCTGCAACCAGTCAAATCTATTGAGCATCGTTCTGTTTTTCCATTGTCAGTCTACA